ACCCCCCACAAATCCAAAACACGAAAGTACAAACATTGCTATTTGATGTGTTTAGATTCTTTTCGGAAAACACGGGTTTTTTAAATCCTTTGGATGACTTTCCACTATAACCTCGGTCCATTTATTGGTCTAAGCAAAATACGACTCATTTAAAATGAATATTTAAATCAACAATTCATAAAAAGAATCTTTCTATGGGATTACATGTGTTCTATATTTATTTAGGTTACCAATTGTCAATTCCTTCCTACTCGCAGCATGCTCTTCATGATCTTGCCAAATGATTCAATTGCCATGTAAATAAAGCATGTAATTCTCTATTTAAGGTTCTACCAACAACTGTAACCCCCCACCACCCACACACGATGCGCGCAAACCTTGCAAACAACTCTCAAGTTTCAGTCTTTTTTGAGAAATGGCAATTGTATTGATAAAACCACCAAGAAGGTGCAACAAGAAGATTTCCAGACCAAAAGCAAAAGCATATCCATCTCAAGTTTCATTCTTTCTTGCTAAATACATCCTACATAATATAACTCTGACATTGCTCACTTTCAATAAAACTCACAGAACCCTCAGTTTAACTATTCATTCAACAGATTAAAAATCCTGAATTTCAACAACGACGACAACAATATACTCAGTTTAGTCCCATAAGACGGGTTTTAGAGAGGCTGTTTCCAAAAGACCCCACCTCAGGTAACACAAATTAGGGAAAACCCCAAATTGTATTACACCCAAATAGAAAAATACTAACAATCAACAAATACCCAAAATTTTCATATACCTCTAAACACATAGCATAAGCAAAAAATTACCAAATATCAACATCCAATTCCAGTAAATAATCAATCAATACAGCTCAGCTACATAAATTATCTACTATTCATTCAAAATTCATCACAGTTAAATCAAAATAGGGATAAATTACAAGAGCAACAGCAGAAACGACGCCGTATAAGATCGCAAGGACATAGAAAATACGGTCTTGCCAAATAGGAGTTTTATTCACTTCATCCCACCAGCTTATTGCCCCATGTAAACGGTACGCCACCACCACCGCCGTCGACGACGGGTCCACCGCCGTTTCAACCCGACCCATCGCCGGATATCCGAAATTAGACACCCAAAAAAAAGAAAATGAAATTTTAGAGAATTTTTTCTGTGATCGGAAAATTATTGAGTCTAAAACGGCCGGCGAGTAAGGAGAGAAGCACGGCGGCGTTCCCCGAACGTTCTAGGATTTTTTATTATTATTATGAAGAAAAATGTTGTACAATGCTTAAAATAGATTGATGAGGGTATTTTCGTCCGAAATGTACAAGTTTTTTTTAATCAATTTGGACAGCAAATTTGCTAAAAGTAATGAATATGCACAGTTGTTATCCGACAGATTACACGTGGGGTGAATAATGGATAGGAGATGTGCTTTTTATTTGATTTCTCGCTCGATGTTTACTATTCACATTGAAGCTTAATTATTAAAGATTCGTATTGGGTAAAACAATCACTTTCTATCCAAAAAAAAATTCATATCCAAAGCGTGAACATAAGACCTATTATTGAGGGATGTGCTTATAGTTTGTTTGTTTTAAAAATAAAAATAAAAATCCATTCGATATCTGATACGTGCATTCAAAGCGCACTAATTTAAATTTATGTGACGTAAGACATATTCGGAAAAGCATTTCTTGGGATTAAATTGCAAGTATATAATTGCAAATAATTATGTGTGTTTTTCTACACGGATAATTGTTCATAATAATTAAAATGAATAACGTTAAAATTAGATTAGTAATTCATTATAAATAGATTAAAATAATTTTATACGATATAACGATGAAACCTCCTTTCCAAATAAAGATATCCCTTTACGAAGGAGATACATTAGTTATATTTATATATGAAAAATCGAAGTTTGGGTGATATAACATAATTCGATTGATTCAATATTCATGAATCTAGAAAGTTAAGCTTATGTATTATTGGGAGAAAATGACATAAATAGTCCCTCAACTATAGGAGTAGGTCTAAAATGGTCCATGAACTATACACTTAATGGATTTAGTCCTTCAACTATTCAAAAACTTGTCAGTTTTGATCCCTTAACTATACACTTATCGATTTTAGACCATTAACTATAAACTTGCCGATTTTAGTCCTTTAAGTATTCAAAAACTTATCAAGTTTGGTCGTTGTCCATTTTTTTTAATACAAATAGCTTAGGTTTATATTTAACAGAATCTATGCCTCGAGAAATTAAATCATTTAGCACCTTTTTCTGTTGGTTCTCTCTCCGTTACTTTTTCTTCAAAATTAACCTTACGCGAAGAACCTTAACCTCAACGATTTAAAATAAAATTCACAAGAAAAGAAAATATAAGTCATAATTTTATTCAACAGAGGATAAAATGAAGCATATTATTGTTACTAATGACTTGAATATGTTAAATTTTATTATAAAAGAAAAAAGTTATTATCCATTAAATCCAAAGTTTGTACTCCAACGATTTCATTGAACGAAATTTGTTTAATTTTTTAGTAAATGGTAATTTATAAAATGGTAGATTTGCAATTTTTAAACTTTTTTTAATAGATCAATTTTATTATTCTATTCATTTTATTTTACGTCAAGAAATTTGAGTAAATTAAATAAAATTCGCATTGATTAGCATGATGCATGATAAGTTTCTCGAACAAAAACTATCAAAGTTTAGGATGGTGCGTATTAAAAACCAAAGCTATTTGTATTAAAAAAAAATGGACAAAGACCAAACTTGATAAGTTTGTGAATACTTAAAGGAGTAAAATTGGTAAATTTATAGTTAAGGGACTAAAATCGGTAAGTGTATAATTAAGGGACCAAAGTTGACAATTTTTTGAATAGTTAAAGGATTAAATCCGTTAAGTGTATAGTTCAGGGACCATTTTAGACCTACTCCTATAGTTGAGGGACTATTTATGTCATTTACTCTATTATTGGTGTTTGTATCAAAATCAAGTTGACACTTGTCTTTTACTTAAAGTTTCATTGTTTAATAAATGGTTAATTAGAGCTGATATGTTTTTGTCCTTTAATTTATGATTATAACAATTAATATTAATTTATGTTTTTAGATTGAGATATACTTTAGTTACGTCAAAAATACTTTATTCATTTGCAATGTCTACATCAAAATTGTCTAGTGACATGATCAAAGCAAATGAACGCAAGTTATATCTCAATTATTATATAGCAACAATAAACAACTTAGGCAATTGTTATACTACAAATGAAATTTAGAGAGGATAGTATATAACACAAATTATGTTATTATTCAGGAGGGACTAATTGCTTCATCAAACTCCAACCCAACGTCACACATTCTCATAGACCGATCAATTGCTTCATCAAACTACAATCCAACGTCGCACATTTTCATAGACCAATCAATTGCTTCATCAAACTACAATCTAGTGTCACACATTCTCAAATCCCGATCATTTGCTTCATCATACTCCAATCTAACGGCACACATTCTCAAAATCCGAGCAATCAAAGTCCGACCAATTGCTTCATCAAACTCCAATCCAGTGTCAAGAGATCTGAAACAAACCGAAACCTAGATCACATAAGATGAGTCTAGTACTTCCCTTTAACCTAAAAGCACTCTCACCATGCATGAAAAGGAAAAAACTCCTGTGAACATTACAAAACTTTTAAACTTCCAACTCTGCCAGGTATATATGGGGAAAAAGTTGTAAAACTATAGAAAAAATACACGAGCAAACATGTTTCTTATTAGCCCTCTAATGTTACAGTCAACACCATTTTTGGCAAAACTAGAGATCTGCCAAATGCCACTAACCGGTGGAAAATTTTCCAGCCAGTCTCCGAGTATAAATACAACGAAGAAAAAGAGTGTTCTCTCTACTTCTAAAAGATAAAAATCAGCAGAGCAGTTGAATTTGCTCATTCCGAGCCAACCTAAAATAGCTTAGAGCGATTGATGTATCCCATCATTTATGAGAAAACAACACCCATCTTCTTAGCAAAGTCATCTTCATCATCATCATCCAGGTATTCTTCACCAGCATCAATATTCTCACCTTCGTCTAAATTGTAATCTTCACCATCGACCTGCTCATAATCATAGTCTCCATCTCTTTGATCATGACCTTCGGCTTCAGGGTCTTGATCGTCTGCTTCTTCCACAATCATCCCTTCTTCAGCTTCAAGTTCATTTGCACCATGGTGTGCAGGAGATTGATGATCAGCTGATACACCTGATGGAGGATCAGACTCTTCCTTTTGCCCAAAGTCAGTATTGTTCCTGGAGATGGAGGAAGTCACCACTGGCACAGAGTGGTCCTTTCTTTTATGTTGATAGTCTTCACTCTTATCAGATGGCATGCCTGTTTTACTGCTTCTTTTTCTCTTCAAGATCTCTTGCAGAGGCATTGGTCCGTCAAATGAAACAGTATCCCCTCCTGTTTGCTGATAGTCATCACGCTTTTGGAACTTACGCTTCCCTAGGGCCTGTTGCTCGTCAATATTTTGTTCAGTGGTCTCAGCAGTTTTCTGACCTTTAAGTTCAGCAAGACTTCTTGGACCAGAAAATTTTGAATCATTCTCGCTTACATCTCTTCTTATACGTGGACCACTGTTATTTCTTCCAGTATCATTGAGATCCTCTTGCACTCTTCCCTTTATTCTATCACGAAGCCTTCCCTGTTGAGAGAAAAGCTGTGGCCTTTCTGAAGATAACCTGCCACGGTCCCTAGCCCTATCCAGCCGCATGTCTGTCCCATTAGTTGGAGAGGGTGATCTACTTGGTATCTTTATTCTTCCGCGAAGACGACTAGCAAGGGAACTATCATGTGAAGGTACATAGGGTCGATCCCTCCTGGAACTTTGGTAGCCTCGATCCTCAACATGTTTTTCACTTGCATAGTCATGACTAATGACTGACCTCAAACCATTAGTCCTGTTATGCTTTGATAAACGATGCCTCAGATCTGGCTCTCGAACTTCTTCAGGGCTGTGAGCTCTACCATAGCGTCTCCTTTCAAGATGAGCGGATTCCCCTTGTACTCTCTCAGAAGAAGCTCTATGCTGCACCCTACCAGAGCGATCCGGAAGCCTGTCGTGAGAGTCATGCCCATAGACATCATGGTACATATCTTGGTCCACATCTGCAACTGAAGTAAAATCAGCAGAGCGGCCAATATCGTATTCATTCCTTCCCCCATTTCTGCCATATCGACCTTCACCATGATAAAAATCAGTACCTCTGAGCTCATCATCCACAAGAACATCAAAACCAGGTGAAAGCTCCCTTGAAATCTCATCATCTTTGTTCTGAAAGCTACTGTGATCATCAAACCTAGCAGACTGTTGCACTCTGTTGGATCTACCAACAGAATTCCCATTTGGAGGCGGCACACTTTTTGGTTTGTGCCTGTGATGCGCAACATCAATGACAGGATTGGGTGGCAACACATTCTCATTAAAGGCAGCATTATTCTTGGGCAAAGGAGTTTTCAGTTTCTCAACTGGTTGTGCTTGTACAGATAATTCACCAGACTTCCAAATATTTGCTTGAAAAAATGTCTTCTCTTGCACACACTTTTCAAGCCCACCAAATGCCTTAAAATTGGTTTTCTCAGTAGATACAGGATGTGGAGGAGCTTTGTTAGACACAAACAATGGTGCATGGAAAAATGGACACCTATCACCTTTTAAACAAAACCCTTGCTGGAAGAAAATGCATGGTACACCTTGCTTGCTAGAACCATATGGAACATTTGGTGTAGGTGCAACAGATGCCACTGGCAGTGCAGAAGATCCTGTAGGAGTTGTAACTTGAGCTCCCAAAAGTCCATCAAGAGGCTGCAAAAGTAGAAGATTATTAACTATCATGTCAACAATTAGTTTACAGACACAGAGCACTCCTGGTTTGCTAATAAAAGAAAATAAGTAAGTTTACATCACGACAAGGAACCCTTGGTACTGATAGCACATAGATGATAAGAATGTGTAGTATGTTAGTGAAGAATGACTCACAGGGTGCCGGAATGCGCATTTTGGGTTTAAGCAGCTTCCATTCAACCAGTACCAGCAATCTCGAGGATTAAGCCGAGCAGCATCACTATGACGGTACTCACACTCGCTTCCCTATGGACAAAATAAAAATAATTAGAGCGTCGGTAAATACTGATCTAGATCTGTATAGAACAAAGACGAAGATTGAATCATCTAGAACGTTATCCCTATCATGGCGAAGC